AAAGTAAGTACATGTAGGCTTACATGTTCATGATTACAATAAGACTAGTTATCATAAACATGTACGTACATGTAAGGGCATTGGACTTTGTAACACAGGCCTAGGACCTACCCGTTAACATTTGGCCGGCAAAAATGCGAAGTTCTCTGGATAAACTCCGCCTCTCTGACAACATCCAGCAACCGACAAATATCTCCCTAGAATCTTCAATCAAAAGATGGAACTAGAAGGTCACACTCACAGTCTCGCGCTGAGCCCACAGTGTACTTTAACGTACAATAGCGCCCTCTATAAAGATAAACTTCTAACCTTTGTCCCCGTTTTCTTGAAATTAGGCTACGACAGTTTACCGCTCCTATAACCGCAACTAGAGTAGCATTTCGTCATGGGGGTCTCAACTTTGTTGAGTTATTATTTGGGGCCAGACCTATTTTCTATGTAGGTCAAATCATTTTGAGAAAAAAAATGTGTCTAATAAAGGAAATCAGTCAAATGTGATAGAGCAAAACTATCAAGGCCACAAACTTAGACAAAATTATGAGAGCGCCACCTAGGCTGAGCGAATCCAGTTGGAATCAGCAATAAAATGGACATTGTGGTAGTGGACATCCAGAGTATAAATACTTCACTAATTTTCAAACTGAAGTCTCCTTCAATCCAGTAGAAACGGATTAGGACAATTAAAATTTGTATAAGGTTATTTGGTTCAAAATGAAGAGGCTCCGGCCTATACATGTCAACACTTCCAATCGCTCACTTATATGTCCCCTTCCTTCCTTATTTGGTCTCTGAAGGTCAATCTATGACATAAATGAATTACATTGATGATGACCATCACATCAGTTCAAAGGATTCTGGTCGTCGCCCCACAGGGGAATTGTCACATCGCCTTGGCACGCCGGTAAATTATTGCCGGGATTTTATTGCAAGGAATGAACAGTCCTTGGGCAGTTCACGATACCATGATGCCATTTGCAAAACTGAGTAAGCAGACTAGAGAGATTTCCTTGCGAGGCCAGCTTGGCCTCCACAACCAACCAAGACTGAGTTTCTGATGAGAAAAACCACTGTTCAGATTCTGTCCAGCTGACAAGTTCATTGACAACGCAACTGAGTACATGCGATTCCCAGAGAATCCCAACAACAAACTGAAAAAGAGATTGACGGCGAGTAATCTGATGGATAATCACATATTTCCTGTGGAGATATTTAACAAAGAAGTGACTCATATCCCGGCTGGGGTGGCCACCTGGCTTCACGTTTGTATGCTACCCCTACAGCTAAAACTCATCTTTATGTACAAACTGACGCATTTCTCACCACAGGCATTCCCAAACTGGCATTCAGTTACTTTCTAAAGAACTTTTTGTGTATAAAGCAAACTTGTGTTTGTTTGAATGCCCCAAAGTGCATCCTTCCATTCTGTCTGTACCATTGAAATTACGTGAAGTTAGCAGTTAACAAGTACCTTGCTGTAACACAAAGGTTTTTTTCTGAATTGTTATAAATTCTCATCAATTCGTTTGAAAGTAACTGTGTACATTTATATTAAAAACTCGATTAATGATTTTCTACAGAAAGTTTAATGTGGGTAACAATGCTCTAGCTAGGACCATTTTAGTGCCGGGTAAATTTTTGGATTATAAAGCATAGTGAGCGCAGTTCTTAACGCTTTCTGATGGATGAAATATGATCCAATTGGTACATTTAAATTTTCAGTAATATTTCAGTTCATTTTTGGAAAATCCGTGGTGGGTGGCACAGCCAATTTCAACCCTGAGTGCCGGGGGGAAATTTGTAGAACCGTGCCGTGCCGCCCGGCGCCGCCCACCGCGGCTAGAACCCTGGTGAGTAATTTGGAAGTAAACTGTGGAGCAGTGCAGGATATTCGCTTGGGGGAGTTACAATCATAACAATGGATATAGTACAGTATTCCACGAATTCTAAACTGAGAAGGAAGTATATTGATTGAGAACCTACCTGGCGTATCCTGGAAACCTGCTTAGCAACAGACTTCTTGAGTTGTATTCCAGCAACTATGACAGTCACGCACTGTTCCATTCTGCTTAAATATGTACTAAAGATTTGCTGTTGTGAGCAGTAGGTTGCTTGAATCAAGCGCTTTTCAACCCCCCCCCCCAA